AGGATAAGGATCTGTTTTATGGCAGGATGCATTCTTACCTGGAAACTCAGAGAATAACACCAGGTGTAGTTAAAGCAAAGACAAAGCACCTAGCATTTCACAACTTCAAGTCAGACCCCTTGCCTTTACCCTATAAATAGCCAACAGGCCAAGGAGCTGTGTGTCTCTCTGAGTGTCTTCGTGCGTGTCTCCATGTGTGTGTCTGTGTCTGTGTCTTTGTGTTCCTATGAGAGCACCCACACTCTGCTAGAGTGTGCCCCTGCCCTTCTGTTTGTCTGTTTTATTGTCTGTTTCCTTGCTTACTTAATAAAGCTCTGCCAAGTTTTCTTACCATTGTGACTTGTCCAGAAGTTCTTATTCTGCGATTGAAGTCAAGAACCCTAAGTGAAGAGTTCCTATATTTTAAGGAGAGCTTCACTAAACCTCCCCTCTGTTGGGTGACAAGTCCACTACTTCTTACTGGGCAGAAGTTCTTAGGTCTTGTGGAAATTAGATTAGGAAACAGGAGGAAAAGATGGAGAACAATGAGGAGGGAGAAGAAAGGGGGAAATGGTTCCCTTTAAACATGTCTTTGTAGGTTATTTTTATTTCTTGGGTTATTGTTTCAAAACAATATGTAGTCCAGGCTGGCCTCATTCTCATAATTCTCTGCCTCCACTTCTGAAGTGCTGTGATTGCAGTCATGTACTACCATACTCAGGAGGATTAGCTTGTGTAACTTATATTTGTTTGATCATTAGTTAATTATTTTCTCTACAGTCTTCCTTCCTTAATAACTTTTTTCTTTTTTGCTACTTTTTTTTTTTGTCCTCATTCTCTGAAACACAAATGTCGTTGGTCTTTATTTTTCTCAGCTGTCCTTCTCACTAGTGAAGGTGACAGAGAATCTGATTGAGGTTAGTGGATCCTATATATGACTCACTTCCTGTGTGGCAGGCAGAGCTGGCCTAGAGTACATGATGCAGAGGGAGGTCAGGAACCTAGCTTTTCCTCATGTTTCTTTATGCAGATTCCAACAATATTTATTGAATATGCTTCAGTCCCCAAGTTAAGCGCTGGGATGCAATGGTAGAGAAGGCAGATGAACCCAGTTCTAAAGCTGCAGGTGGTAGAGCCCACAGGTCATTTTGGAGCTAACTATTGAGGTCTAAGATTATAGCATCCTGAGTTGTGACCATAGAGGAGCAGCCATAGCTGGAGGGGAAAATGCTAGGACCTCTTTGAAAAGCCATCTTGGCCTTGACTTTTTTCCTCTTACCCTAGAATGACCACAGGGAGTGGTTTTATTACTCATTGTTTTCTTTGTCAAATTATAATTTTCAACTGTAGATTTCCACCCCCCCCCCCCAAAAAAAAACCTGACCCTTTTGGGTTGGAGGCGTGGCTCAGTTGGTAGAGTGTTAGCAAATGAGTGAGATAACAAGGTTCGGAGTTTGAGTCCTAGTCTTAGACCAAAAAAAAGTAAAATTAACCTTAAAGTTCTCAGTTTTGCCATTAGAAGGAATTAGTTCAAATCCTTAAATGCACCTGACCCTTGAAAGGGTTTCCTATATCAGAATCTCAGTTTTCTATTTGTAAATACGGGGATGTAAAGTAAATTTCCTACAGATATTCCTCATAAAAATAAAATACAGTAACATGTATAGCCCTACACTATCTACTATTGTATTGTATTCTTCAGGGTTTAAACATTTCAATTCAGTTTCTATCTAAAAATAAAATTGATCTGGGCATTGATAGCCCATGCCTGTAATCCTGGCTCTTTAGGAGGCTGAGAACTGATAATCAAGATTTAAGGTCAACCTGGGCACAAAAAAAATCCCTGAGACTCTTGTCTTCAATTAATAAATATACCAGAAGTACTGGGAGAGAGCAAAGGAAGGGGTGACATTTCCCAAAGAAACATACTCATTCTTGACTTATGAAATGGTCACTCCTCTGTAAATCTCCTTTGTAATAAAAATTTTTAAAAAGAGAAATCTTAAATAAAGAAACTCAGAAGTAGAGATTCGGCTCAAGTGGTAGAACACAGGCCTTGAGTGAAAAAGTTAAGGAGAGTGTGAGGTCCTGAGTTTAAACCCCAGTACCAGTACAAAAGATCAATAAAGAAAATTGACGTCCTTTTTTTGGCTTAAAGAACTGATATATCATGCTTTGTATATTATATATGTGTTTCCTAAAGAAAATCAAGAAATGTGTCCTGACTCAGAGAGCACAGTGCGTGAGAAGAAAATCAGAGATAGAGTGGGGACAAACATACATGTAAGCAAATTTTGAGTACTCTGTGAATATGTTTTGTTAGGCTCCTAAAGAGAACAAATACTTTTTTCCACTTATACTCTCAGTACCCTCAGAGCTTCTGTGACCAAAGGGGAGGGTTTCTCCCACTAGGCCACTGAAGTCTGACAAACAGCTAGGTGGTTCACAGTTCAGTTACATTTTAATAACTGAGTTAACTCAGACCTACAAAACTGGCCCTCAGGTTACACATCACTTTTGTTTAAGATGGCATGTATCAGATTCCTTTGACATCTTTCTTGGCAATGATCCTGCTATCTATGCTTTCCTGTGTTCTTGGGGATGCCAGACATACAGCATCATACCCAATCATTGGTAGAGATGGAATCTCACAGACTTCTTTTTGCCTAGACTGGTCTTGAACCCTGACTCCCTTATCTCTGTTTCCAAGTATGTAGGATTAGATAAATAGAGTACACACTATGTATTTAATTCATAGTACACAGTTATTTCTTAGGATAGACTATGTGGATCCCATAAATTTAATCTCAATAGATTTTAAAAGGCAAATATCATATAAGTACCTTCTCTGACCACAATGAGATAAAGTTCAAAATCAGTAACAAGGAAAATTGGAATAGTCACAATTTTGTAGAAATTAAACAGCATATTGTTAGTCAACAATCAAAGCAACATTAAAAGGGAATTAAAAAAAAACTTAGAGACAAATAAATATTAAAATGTGGCCTATAAAAATTAATGAGATACAGCAAAGCATGAAATGCTAAGGGAATATTTACAAGTATAAAAGCTTGCATTAAATAAGAGTCAGCTTCCATTTACCACTTAAGGAACTAGAAAAAGCAAATTAAATTCAAAGGTATCAGAAGAAAGAAAATAATAGATTAGATTAGAGGAGAGGTAGATAGCTAGAGAATAGAACAATAGAGAGAAAGGATGAAACTGAAAGTCCATTCTTCAGAAACTATCAAAATATTTGAAAAAATTAACTAGATATGATAAAGAAGAAAAGAGAAACCTCAAGTCAATTTAGGTTGTCAAATTGATTGGACTAAGATATGGTTAGGGAATTAGCAAAGCACACCTCTGGGAGTGAATGTGATGGCATCTCTAGAGTGAATTAGATCACAAGGACTCTGACCTAATGAGTGGATTCATCCCGTGATAGATTCATTAAATGATGGCATTATCAAGAGGCGGTGAGAAGTTGAGGTGGGGTCTAGTTGGATGAAGTCTGCCTCTGTGAAGTTTGCATCCTGCCCCTACTCTATTCCCTTTCTCTAATCTGTTCTTCTACATTCTCCCTGCCAGGATGGACTCAGAGCCAAAACATGACTAAAATGAATTCTTCTTTAAGTTGTTTATGCCAGGTATTTGGTCATGGTTAAGCAGTCATTAATATAAAAATACTTCAATGAGTATCATCAGAACTGAAAATAAGTACATTAGTATTCATTCTACAGAAATAAGAGTGTACAATGAACAACTGCCCAGCACCAAACCGGATAATGAGATGAAATAGACAAAGTTCTCACAACACAGTCGTCAGCATTCCATCACTATAATAAACTACCTAACCAAGGGTATTTGTGAAGAAAAGAATTGATTTAACACCTTTCTAGGTAGTTAAAAATCCAAGATTATGTAGCCCCATTCATATATTCTATGGTGGATAACAGATTGCTGTAGAGCGGTATTGTAGGAGCATAGTCACATCACAAAACCTGTATGGGAGAGGTAGAGAAAAAGAGAGACATTGTGGTCCTACATTGAGGCATGTATCTATAAGGACCTCTCTCTAGGCTCCACATTTTAAAGGTCCACAGTACATCTCCCTTCCCCAATAGTACCACCTCAGAGCCTAAAACTTAGCATAAGGATCTTTAGTTTTTTGTTTTTTTGGGTCCGGTCATGGGGCCTGAACTCTGGGCCTGGGCGCTGTCCCTCAGCTCTTCAGCTCAAGGCTAGCACTCTACCACTTGAGCCACAGCGCCACTTCTGGCTTTTTTCTTTTTTTGCTTATGTGGTGCTGAGGAATCGAACCCAGGGCCTCATGCATGTAAGGCAAGCGCTCTACCACTGAGCTATCTTCCCAGCCCATAAGGACCTTTAGGAGAGACATAATTAAATCATATCCAGGACTAGGGCAGAGCTCAAGAAGTAGAATGCTGCTTACAAGCTTGAAGCCTTGAGTTCAATCCCCAGTGCTGCCATAAAAAAACCAGGTAGCATATACTTGTAATCCCAACATGGGTTTAAGGCCAGACTGGGATACATAGTGAGTTTTAGTTCAGTCTGGGCTATAAAGGGAAACTCTCAAAAAACAAAACACAATGAAGAACAAAGCAAAACAACAATTACAAAAAGCTCAAAACAAAATGAAAAAACCAAAAATAAAAAATGAGAACATATCATTTTTTTTTTCTGACACATAAGAGGATTGAATCAGGAACCTAAAGTTTCTTAACAAGGAAGTGCCCAGGACCTGATAGTATCAATGGTTAATTTTACCAAACTTTTAAAGGAAAGTGAAGACCAATATTTTTCAAATTTTGTCAAAAGTTGAAAAAAAAAAGGATATTCTATAAGGACAACATTGCTCTGCTTCCAGTGTCAACGTGTGGTGCTAGTTGAAGGGTCCCACGCATACATCCCAGGGGACCACGCAGAGGCAGGCAGGCATAGGAGAAAGGTTAATGTAAGGTTTATTAGAGGAGCCGTATTTCCCCAAGAAGGAGCACATGACCTCTGTCACCATCCAGGTAGCAGGAGCGGTCTGAGGGTCGGAAGTGCGCTCAGGTGGGTCTGGACGGAGAAAGGGAGGGACCAACTGTATGGCAGGAACTCCATGGATGGGAGGGCTCAGGTCTGGGTGGAGCTGAGGACCAAAGGTAAGCATAACACCAACACTGGTGGCTCACGCCTGTAATCCTAGCTACCCAGGAGGCTGAGATCTGAGGATCAGGATTCAAAGCCAGCCTAAGCAGGAAAGTCCATGAGACTCTTATCTCCAATTAACCACCAGAAAACCCGAAGTGGCACTGTGTCTCAAATGGTAGAGCCTTCAGCTGAAGAGTTCAGGGACAGCAGCCAGGCCCAGAATGCAAGCCCCATGACCTACCCCACCTCCCTCACAAAAAAAAGATACTACATGAAAAGAAAGTTTCAGATTAATATCTCTTATTAATATTTATGCAAAAATTCAACAAAATGAGCAAGCCAAATATTGCTGCATATTAAAACTAGCAAATGTTGCCAAGTAGGATTTATTACTAGAATGCAAGGATGTTTTTTCATACCAAAAATTGATCATATATCACAGCAGATGAACAGAATGAAGGATAACAAATGCATGGCTGTTTATTATCAAAAAAACACTCAATGAATTAAGAATAGAAGGAAAGGTCACATGAAAACTCACAGGAAGCATCATAATTGATGGTAAGAGTCAAGCTTAAGCTGTGGGCTGGTGGCTCATGCTTATAATCCTAGTTTCTCATGAGGGGAGATCTGAGGATCCCAGTTCTAAGCCAGCGTAGGCAGGAAAGTCCATGAGACTCTAATCTCCAATTAATCACTAGAAAACCAGAAGTGGCACTGTGGTTCAAAGTGGTAGAACACTAGCCTTGAGCAAAAGAGCTCAGGGACAGTGCCCAGACCCTGAGTTCAAGACCCATGACTGTAAAAAAAAAAAAAAAAAAAAAAAAAAGAGTCCATCTTTCCATCTAGAAACAGGCCAAGGTTGCATATCTTTGCCAGTCCTATCAATGTAGTACTAGAAGCTAATTAGTTCAGAGAATGAAATAAAAGGCATCCAACTTAGAAAAGAAGTAACATTATCTAATTGGAAATTATATCATCTTTTGTATAGAAATCCTTACAGATTCCACAAAATACAGTTAACACTAATTCTTCAAAGCCACACACAAATGTCACTGATTTCCAATACACTGACAACAAATACCTTGCAAAGTAAAATGAAAAGACAAATTCATTTACAATAGCATTAAAAATAATAATATACTTTGGAATCAACTTAACCAAGATAGTTGAGAGACTTGTACAATAAAAGCTATAAAACATTTTTGAAAGAGCTGAAGGAAGACAGATATATGGAGAAACATCCTGTGTTCATGATTTGGAAACCTTAATATTATTAAGATGGCATTTTACCCAAAGTGATTTATAGATGAAGGCAATTACTATTATTAGCCTTATTATGTTTTTTTGTTGTTGTTTGTGTTGCAGAGATAGAGGAGTATACCCTAAAGTTTATGTGACTGTCATGACTTACATGGTCAAAATCATTCTGGAAAAATAGAACAAGGCTAGAGGGTTTATCCTGATTTCAAGACTGACCACAAAGCTACAGTAATGGAAATTATCTGCAACTGGCATAGAGACAGATATATAAACTAATGGAATAGCCTAGAGAACTCAGAAAAACATCCCTTGTATACACAGTCAAATGACTCTTGACAAGATGTCTAGGACCATTCAATGGGGAAATGGTAAAATTTTCAACAAATGCAAATACCACATGCAAAAAGAATGAAGCTGGCTCCTTTCCTAACACCATATACAAGAATTACCTCAAAATGGATCATGACTTTTTTTTTTTTTGGGTCCAGTCGTGGAGCCTGAACTCTAGGCCTGGGCACTGTCCCTCAGCTCTTCAGCTCAAGGCTAGGGCTCTACCACTTGAGCCACAGTGCCACTTCCGGCTTTTTTCTTTTTGCTTATGTGGTGCTGAGGAATATGAACCCAGGGTCTCAGGCATGCAAGGCAAGCCTTCTACCACTGAGCCACCTTCCCAGCCCCGGATCATGACTTAAATAAGACTTAAAACTATAAAATTCCTGTACACAACAGCACAGTGCTGGATTTGGCAATGATTTCTTGGGTTTGACACCAATGACATAGGCAACAAAAGAAAAAAATGTGTAAGACACCCGTTCACTTGTCCTGTTCAAACTTTATGGGCTCACTTATAACTTTCACATGTTTTTTTTTTTTAAGCTTCTCCTTCCTATTCTTATTTCTTGATTTTTAAATTTTGGTACTTAACTTAAATTGGAAGTGCTGGGAATTGAACCCACAGCCTCATGCTTGCTAAGCCTGTATACTACCACTGAGCTGTATCTTCTAGGCCTCTTGATTCATATTTTTAAAGTAAATTCTTTTTTTAAAATATATATATATTATTGTAAAGATACTATACAGAGGAGTTAAAATTACATGAGTAAAGTAATGAGTCATTTCCTATCGAGCATTGTTACCCCTTCCTTTGTTTTTCCCCTACCATCTCTTCCCTCCCCACCTCCCCACCTACTCCCTCCAGCCACGAATCCTCACCCCTGTATTACCTGGCCTCTGCACCCAAAGTTGTAATGTCTGTTTTCAACATAGTGTCTTATACATCCCATTGTTACAATGGGTCAACCTGTATTCCTATTTAAGCATTTTGTTTTTTTTACCTTCTCCTCCCCAAATTAGAAAAATGTATATACAAGATGCGGGCACTGGAATCAAATACAGTGAAAACGGGGAAGGAACATACCAAAGAAACAAAAAAAAAATCACATAGTACATTATAAATACGTTAAAAATAATAGCAAGAAAGAAAAAGCCACTTGTGTCCCTATCTTGAGGTTTATTTCATTTAACATCATCTTATATGGTCATATGTACATAGCTTTTGACCTTTTCTGCTTGTCCTAGACATATACTAGTTATTGCAAATAAGGGAAACCATGGGACCTATGTTTCTTTGGGCCTGGCTTACTTCACTTAATATAATTTTTTCCAAGTCTTAAAGTAAATTCTACAGGTCTCATCCAGTCTAACAGTACCTCCTTCTTTTGTTGGTGATGGGGACTGAACTCAGGACTAGGCAGCTCTATAACTTGAGCCATAATCTCAACCTCATATTTTTCTTTTCTTTTTCTTGCTTTCTTTCTTTCTTTCTTTCTTTCTTTCTTTCTTTCTTCCTTCCTTCCTTCCTTCCTTCCTTCCTTTCTTTTTCTTTTTTTTTAATAAAGAAGCAACTTTATTGAGAAGGTTCCTACACTTACTGGCCAGGGCTGCAGCATAGGCTCGGGAGCTGATGCTGCGACCCCCAGCGGCCCACATACTTTGGTTTTTAAAGGCAAAATTTACGAGGTCAAGCCTGGTCATGCAGGTGACCAATGAGATTGTCACACACCCAAAAGATTGGACAGTCATACTAGACCACACACAGGTGGCCAATGAGGTTACAGTCTGTCACATAATGGCTGTTTAAACCAGCCTATCACTTTTGTCAACCTCATATTTTTCATAACAAAGAAGACCTATGTTTCTATTTAAGTGTTTTTTTTTTTTTCTGAGAAAGATTATTATGGGCCATTTGGTGGAAATGTTGTTTTATGCGTATGGGATCAATTTATTTAAAAGACTAGAAACAAATGACAATTTCTGTATTCTTTCCTGACATTTATTGGCCTATTAACATCAGCCACAAATGGAGAAATGGTGAGCAAATGTAGTCATTATATTCAATGTGTATTATCTAAAAATCAAACTATATAACTTGAGGGTAGAGCTGGGAGAGGGAATAATGAAGAATGATGGAAAGGGTGACATTGATCAAAATGCATTGTACTCATGATCTGATGTATGGAACTCTTTGTACAATGACTTAAAAATAAAAGTTTTAAAAAAGAAAGAAAAGTCTATGACTTTTCCTATGGCAGCAATGGGCTTTGATGGAGGAGTTGGGCCTTTTATGAAGTTCAAGGGACATAGAGCATGTGGTTGAAGGCTGGATTTCCTTAGTGAATCTCTGCTTCATTTTTGGTCTCCCAATATAAGGCTTCCTGACTGTGAGAAACTCTCAAGAAAGGTTCACAATGACTTACAGGCCTCCATTTGGCCTCCATTTATATTGATTGTTCTCTTTTCTATGCATTTCTTTATCTTACTTCTTCTCCATTTGGAAACACTTTCCAATCTATAGAAAAGGTGTATAAAGGGCAGACTGATGAGCCATCAGAGATATCCAGATTCTTATTCCAGAGGGCCGTAGATAGGTTATCTTGGGTGGCAAAGGGGCCTTTGCAGATGTGACTAAGCTAGGGCTCTTGAAATAGAGATTATCCTGAATTACCTAGGTGGGCCCAATATAGTTAAGCAAGGGGTTAGGAAACCTGGTGGCTGAGAATAATAGCTTGGCTGTCCATAAGGAACCATAATCTGTACTGCTGACGTTAATGGAATAGTTTGTGACACATAGCTATGTTTAACTGACCCACAAACCATGACAACCCTGATCTGACCACCTAAGGCCAAGAATTCTCCCATAAACATATGGGAGGAGTCAATGCATAGTCCAGTCTCTAGAAGTCAATGACACATCAACTCAGAGTTTCGGGTCTGACCACCCCATATCTGAAGACTTTGATAAAAGCTTGAGGTTTTGGGGCCTCCAGTGCAGACTCTTTCTTGAGCTTTCCCAGATTCCTAGTTTGTACTTTTGCCTTCGCTTTGTTTGCATGAGTAAACCTGCACCTCCTTGAGTCTCCTTGTGTGTCTGCCTTGAATTCTCTCCCCAATAAGATGATAAGATAAGAACATTCTGTCTCTGGGTCCGGTAACTTCAATCTTGTGACATCTTGGTGAACCAAGTCTGAATGTTTGAAGACTTTATCATCCTTCAGTCATGGTAAGCCTATTCCTGTTCAGCTTGTAGCTCACTTCTTTTTATTAGTTAGTTTATCTTATACCTATATGGATACTCTATTTCCATGATGGATCAGACCTTGTCTGATTGGCTGTGGACATTTGAATGTTTTGTTCCAGTTATTTTATTTACTGTTAGAGGATCCAGGGAGAAATGATTCCCTTTCATGGGCTTGTCTAATGCATTATCTGATCTCTTCCCATAATATGTAATAATTCATTTTATTGGATAGTCTGGCCCAGCCATTAGAAATAATACTAAAGAAATTTATAAAGTTTATAAAAAAAATTATTTGCTATGTAGTCTGTTAGACTTTACTGTCCCAATGTTTTTTTTTTTTTTTTTTGGTCCGGTCGTGGGGCCTGAACTCTGGGCCTAGGCGCTGTCCCTCAGCTCTTCAGCTCAAGGCTAGCGCTCTACCACTTGAGCCACAACGCCACTTCCGGCTTTTTTCTTTTTGCTTATGTGGTGCTGAGGAATCGAACCCAGGGCCTCAGGCATGCAAGGCAAGTGCTCTACCACTGAGCCACCTTCCCAGCCCCTGTCCCAATGTTTTGCAGTATTTTGTTTTCATCTAAGATCCAAATCAATTCATTTGTCATATACCTATATATGACAAATGAATATATATACATATATATATATATAGACTTCTTTATTTTAGAATAATAATTGAGATTTTTTTTTCTTTTTGGCCTTTAATAACATTGCCCTTCTTTTTGAATACTCTAGGAAGTCAGAGTGGGTTCTCTGGCCTTTTTTTTTTTTAAAGATTATTGGATTAGGAAAAACTCTTTTGCAGGAATACAATTAGATGTTATTGTTTCCCTTTGAAAATATCTGAGGGTAGCATGTCTCATCATTGGCCATGGTGACATGGGATTGTTTATTTATGAATGTATTTATTCATTTATTTATTTATGTCAGTTATGGGGCTTGAACTCAAGGCCTGGACACTGTGCTTGAGCTCATTTGCTCAAGGCTAGTACTCTCATGTTGAGTCCCACTTATGGTTTTTGAGTGGTTAATTGGAGAAAAGAGTCTCGTGGACTTTCCTGTCCCGGCTGGCTTCAAACCTCAGTCCTCATATCTCAGCCTCCTGAGTAACTAAGATTACAGGTGTGAGCCACTGACATCCAGCTGTGGGATTACCTTTATGGGGAAAAGGAAAACTATTAGCTCCAGAAAGGAATTTTCATTACATAAAAATTACATTACAGCCAGGTGTCAGTGGTTCACATCTCAGGAGGCTGAACAATGAGATTCAAAGCCAGCCTAGGCAGATAAATTCAAAGGCTTTTATCTTCAATTAATCAGCAAAAAGTTGGACATTGTGGTGTGCTTCATGTGATAGAGTGCTATCCACTACAGAGTGGAAAAAGCTAAGCAACAGCTCCGGGCCCTGAGTTTGAGCCCCCAATACACACACACACACACACACACACACACACACACACACACACACACACACACACACACACACACCATGTACACACAAGATTTTTCTTTTTTTGTTTGTATACCTGCAAACAATAGCCATGGCATAAGAGATCAATGTGGCATGCTGCTCAAATTGCAGCATCATAAGCAGAAGAAATGAGGGTTGTTTTAAGTCTATAAGTTTACTATGAAGCAGTAGATAATTACCATAGCCTATGTGGTATAGACTTTGAATTTTTCCAGCTGATGAAGAACAACAGGGACATTTTTAATAGAATTGCAGGCATAGGTTATGTTTGATTAGGATCCTTGTTAACAACATGGTGAGCCATTTCTAGAGATTATGGAGAGTCAGGAATGTTCAAACTGGAAGCCTGAGCAAAGCCTAGTCACATGGCTCACCAGCACTGATCCTCTGGCCACGTGTTAGTTTGTACCCCTGGCCAGAGACTGCTTTGGGAAAGAGCATGTGTTTGGGCTAAATTATGTTCCTATCAATTCTGTATGTTTTGGTTCTCACTCCCAGAATTTGAGAATGTGATTGTATTGGAAATAAGGCTTTTAAAGAGCAAGTTAAAATGAAATAAGTTAAAGTAATTAGGACAGGGGCTAATTCACTACGGTTGATGTATTTATGAGGAAATATGCATACAAAGGGAAACTTCATGCACACAAAGAAAAGACCATGCGAAGACACAGAGAGAAGGTGGAAGTCTGCAAGCCAAGAAAAGAAACCTTAGAAGGAGTTAATTCTCTGGACATGCTTACCTGTAGAACTACAGTCAACTGGCCTGGTGTGGAAAGACAGGAGTTTGCTTTCTGTGAGTTAGGGAACCCTGTTTTCATTTCAGGTCTAGTTTAAGTCCTAGAACATAAGTGCATTAAAAAATAATAGTGGAAGTACTAGGTAGAAATGGAGATAGTTATTCAGAGAGAAAGGTGGACATGGTGGTGACCTTCATTTTGCTTTTCTTTAGATTACATTGACCCAACTTGGCTTCCTGCTGTTTCTCATTCTGGCCACTAAAGGGTGCGATCCAGGTGAGTTTCTAGGAACCTAGCTTTCTTTCCTAAGGTCATGTTTATAGTTCAAGTAAAAACATCAGGACATAGGGTGTTATAACTGGAAACTTTTGGGCAACAGAAAAGTAGACTTACTAGAAGAAGGTCACCTCGTCCCTGGATTGTTGCCCAGTGTTCCAAGGAGCATGACAGGAATATTATGAGGAAGGAACAGGAGAGCTAATACTTCATTTTATTTTATTGTATTTCTTTATTTTGTCTTGAACTCTGGGCCTGGGCACCATCCTTGAGCTTTTGTGCTCAAGGCTAGCACTCTCCTACCACTTGAACCACAGCTCCATTTGCAGCTTTTTGGTGGTTAATTGCAGCTAACAGTCTCATAGACTTTCCTGCTCCTGGATCTGAACTGGGATCCTCAGATTTAACCCTCTGGGGGAGCTAGGATTACAAATGTGGGCCATTGATGCCTAACTTATTTTATACTTTAATTTATTTTATGGTTATTATTACTTTTATTTTGGGGCCCATACCCAGGGCCTGTGCGCTGTTCCTCAGCATTTTTTTGCACATGGCACTTCCCCACTTGAGCCACAGTTCTACTTCTGTTCCCCCCCCCCCCCCTTTTTTTTTGGTGGTTAATTGGAAATAAAAGTTAAAAGAGACTTTGTTTTTTCTTTGTTGCTGTTTTTTTATTCTTTTCCTTTTGTCTTGTTTGTTTATCTGTCTTTGGGAGGGTGAGGGGGGCACAGAAATGGTGGGAAAAAGGGTGAACAAATGCAGCAGGGGTACTCACTAGACACTATTGAAAAATAAACTATAAAATTTGTGGGTAGGGTTGGGAGGGAAAAACTGGGAGAGAGTGAGGGAAGGGGGTAACATTGTTCATAAAGAAATACAGCCTTAAGCTGGGCACTGGTGGCTCACACCCGTAATCCTAGCTACTCAGGAGGCTGAGATCTGAGGATCATGGTTCAAAGCCAGCCCAGGCAGGAAAGTCATGGGGCTCTTATCTCCAAAAAACCACTAGAAAGCTGGAAGTGGCACGGTGGCTCAAGCTGTAGAGCACTAGCCTTGAGAAGAAGAGTTCAGGGCCAGAGTTCAAGCCCCACGACTGACAAAAAAAAAAAAAAAAGAAATATATGCTTTATCTGACTTCTATAACTGTAACCCCTCTGTACATCACCTGTATATACATTTTTAAAAAAGCAACCCCCCAAAAAAACCAACAAAAAACACATAAGGAGGTCACATTGCTCTGAGATCCCAGTCTTTCCTGGGCCAGAGAAGAGCCTTGAGATGCACAGAGGCCACCTTGAATATAAGCCCTGTGCTGATTTCTGTCTTGAGGGATCAGGCCTGTAGCAATGAGTATTGCTAAGGCATGCCCTTATTCCAGGATCTGCCCTTCTTCATGGCTCTGAGAGACTCCAGTAAGAGCTGTGCCCCTTCCAGTCACTCCCTACTCCCATGGCCTTGAGCTTTGGACTTCCATGGCAATTGCATGGTCTGCTTTTTTTGTGTGTGTGTCAGTTGTGGGTCTTGAACTCTGGGCATGGCTGCTGCACTTGAGCTCTTCAGCTCAAGGAGAGCGCTTTACCACTTGAGTCACAGAGCCATTTCCGGTTTTCTGGTGGTCAGTTGGAGATAAAGAGTCTCACAGACCTTCCTACCTGGGCTGGCTTTGAACTATGATCCTCAGATCTCAGCTTCCTGAGTAGCTAGGATTACAGGCGTGAGTCACTGACGCCTGGCCCAAGGTCTTCTGGTCCAGAGAAATGTTACTTTCATAATCTCTCTTTCTACAGGAACTTGATGACATTGTATTTCTCTTTATTGCTATTTATTTTAAAAGCTTATATCTAAATATCATCTCACTTGACCTTTACAAGACAGTACTTTTTTAAGACAACAATTCTTTATAAAAATGTATCATTGTTGGGCATTGGTGGCTCATGCCTGCAATCCTACCTACTCAGGAGACTGAGATCTGAGGATCACAGTTGGAAGCCAGCCCAGGCAGAAAAGTCTATGAAGGTCTATGGGACTCTTGTCTCCTTAACCACCAGAAAACCAGAAATAGTGCTGTGGCTCAAAGTGCTATCCTTGAGCAAAAGAGTTCAGGGACAGCACCCAGGCCCTCGAGTGCTAGCTAGCCCCTATGTCCGCCCTTCCCCCTGCAAAAATACCATTACCTATGTTGCAGAAGAGATTTTTTTTTAATTTGCATGAGCATCAAGCTTTATCCTCTAGGGACAAATTGGTCTTCAGTAGGTGCGAGGAAACTGAGGCTGAATATGGTAAGGATGGTCCACAGATGTTGGACTTGCAACCACTGAGCCACCTATAGCTCTGACCTCAAAGCATATGGTAGCTTCTGTCCCTCTAGACTTTTAGAGTATTTGTAGAGCTGTGACTAGTATGGAAACTTATTCATCCCATGCATCTGCTAGTGTCTGGGTCTGTCTCAGCACTGTCTACCTCCTGCCCCATGCTTCAGCCACATCAAGCTGCTACTTACATTTCTTCTATGTATATTGACGTTGCTTTGTTCTATTCTCCAGGTTTTTGGATATGTTGTTTCCCTGATAGAATTTTTTTTTTTTGTTTGTTTGTTTTCTTCCTATTGGTAAATCATGCTCATTCTCTAAGAATGATCTGAGATCTTACCGAGGCTAGAGGCCTTCTATGAACAAGCTATCTACCCTATACCTGTCTGATTGCCAGTCAGGACTTTCCAACCTCCTCTCTCATTTCAGAGTCATTCTTATAATCTCCTGAGCCCATCATTTGTCTCTCAATATAATTTCCTGTTGACTTGTGAGCAACTCTCTAGAGGTAAGCTCTTAGGGGAAGGTTTGGTTTGTTCTGCCTAGTGGCCGGCACTGGGCCAAGCACAGTCCAAAGCATTGTGGGAAAGGCAGTGTCAGCCTGTGCTGGTGCTGGATCAGAGGGATTAATGAAGACTGGATTCTCAGGGTTTTCAACCAGACAGCGAGCTCTGCCACAGTGGAGGCGGAGTGAGCTTGAATTATTGACAGGGGAGGCTGGGGGTCCTGAAAACCTACTAATGACAATAAATCTTTGTCTATTCTCTAGCTGAAGGCAATAATATTCCCCAGAACAGTAATTCTAATCTCTGGAACAGTTCTTCTTTGTCTTCCTTGCCCGGAAGCTGCAAGGAAATCAAGCAGAAGCAGCAGAAGGCCTGTGGTGAGTGACATAGCACTTAAAGCCCTGTCAGGCTGGTGCACTTTGGTTTTTTTCTGATTTTCATTTTTTAATTTAAAACATATGGTACATTTGGATAAAAATGCCTATTTTAACCTGTTTTTACCCCAAACAGCATCACAGTATATGTTCTAGTCGGGCCTTGAGCTCACAATCTTATTTCAGCCTTCAGAGTGCTGAGATTGCAGGCATGTGCTACCACACTCAGCCTCATTTCAACCAATTTTGATTGTATATTTTACAATGTTGTGTAACTATCACCAATGCCTATCCCCCGGAAATTTTATTATACCAAATGGAACTCTGGAACCATTAAGCAATAAGTTAATATTTTGCTTTTCCCTAGTCCCTGCTCACTGCTATTCTATTTTTTGATCTCTATTAATTTGCCTCATTTAGTTACCCAATATAAATAGAGTCAAAGATATTTGTACTTTTCTATCTGGTTTATTTCACTTACAGCAATGATTTTAAACTCTAAACATGTGGTATAGACAACTTTTTTTCAGTATATATATTATACATTACACACACAAACACACACACATATATATATATATTGTATAAACATATGCAATATTTTATTTCTTCACCCCCTAAGGCATACTGAAATATATCTTTTGTGTATTTGACCAATGATGTAATGAATATTAGGGTATATATATCCCAGCCCTGTCTCCATTTCTTTTGGGTAGGAGTGGAAATGCTGGGTTATCTGTGAATTCTGTTTTTCTTTATGAGAAATGCCACTGTGAGTTTGAGTATAGTTTTGTGAACTTGGAGATTCCAGTACCCCCAGGGACACAGTGATAGAACTCAGGAGATGTTCAAGCCATGTTTCTAGTTCCTAGGTGTGTTCTGGTTTGGGGATGAGATGGACCAGGAACCTGCAGACAGGGAGGATGGCTCTCTCCACAGATGGCCTGTACTTCCTCCGCACCAACAATAGCGCCATCTACCAGACCTTCTGTGACATGACCACTGGGGGCGGTGGCTGGACCCTGGTAGCCAGTGTACATGAAAACTTCATGGCGGGGAGGTGCACAGCAGGTGATCGCTGGTCCAGTCAGCAGGGTAACAGAGCAGACTACCCAGAGGGAGATGGCGACTGGGCCAACTACAACACCTTTGGTCTGCAGAGGGAGCCACAAGCGATGACTACAAGGTTGGTGCGAGCCTCTACCCAGCTGGACAAGTGAGGACTGGAGTGTGGCTGGGCCACCAGCATGTAGGAGGGAGAGTTGGGAGGAGGGCTTTGGAAGGTAGGGTTATAACAGAAGAGAGAAATGCATGCCTTGAACCTCAGCTTCTTCCAAACAATGTCATTAGGACTTGAGTAGTGCCAGAGTACTATTGTCTGCAGGAAATAGAGGTGAATGAACATAGCTGGCTATCTGCCTGCCTGGAATCCAGAGCTATCAGGTCAGCTGAGAGCAGCACATGTGGACTTGTGGGACTGTGTGGCTGGGCCAGGATAACTGTTGGTTTCTTTCTAGAACCCTGGCTATTTTGACATCCAGGCCCAGGACTTGGGCATCTGGCATGTGCCCAACAAGACCCCCCTGCAGAACTGGAGGAACAGCTCCCTGCTGAGGTACTGCACCTTCACTGGATTCTTCCAGCTTCTGGGACACAATTTGTTTGGACTCTACCAGGTACATGAGGATGTTCTCTGGGTCTGGTTTTCATGGGTGTAGAAAGAAGCAAGTGTTTGAGCTTGGCTGGGAGCCATCTCTCCAGGTGCCTGTTTTCCTAACACTAATTTACTGGTAATTTCTATCTCATTTGTCTCAGAAATCCTTTGCCAAAAAAGGTTAGAGAAGGGGAAGGGGTAGATTTGCAGTATTTAGAGGATTGGAAATGTCCAGCAAAAGGGAGAGACTCTCATTTGACAGATTTTGAAATAATCTCAGTTACTGAGAAAACATTGCTTTCCCTCTATTTGTTGTCTTTACTCAGTGACTTAATTTTTCTTTGTAGAGATACCCAGTGAAATATGGCGGAAGGAGGTGTTGGACTGACAATGGCCCAGCAATACCTGTGGTCTATGATTTTGGTGATGCCCAGAAAACAGCATCTTATTATTCACCTTATAGCCAGAGTGAGTCTTTAGTGTTCTTCTGAAATCTTCATAGGAAAAATGCTGACTTCTTGTATGATAGATAGTAGTTATCACTTCTGTGAATGTTCTATGCATTGTCTCATTTAATTTGTATCACTACCCTTGGGATTTGAACTACTATTAGTCCCATCTTAAGAGTAAAAAACTGAGTCACTGAAGGTCACTAACTGGCTTGAAGTAACAGGGCCTAGGGAAGAGAATCTGTTTTGGATTGGGAAAATTTGGTCAAGTCTTCACTCTTAAGATACCCATTTTCACTCCCTTAGGACCTTGTTAGCACCAGGCCAGAGTCACGTGCACAAGACAGAACAACAGACAGGATGGCGAGACAGTTTTATTTCTGTCTGAATGGTAGCTGTTTGTCTAATGCGAATCTATGTTTGGCAGAATATACTTAATAGAGGCTGAACCTCTGCTGTATATTTCATAGCTTTTATTACTTACATTTTGGATATGGGTCTTTAAAGGAAAAGCACCAGAAATGTATGGACAGGGACAGAGTGAGCACACTTGCTAGTTGCTTCAACAAGTTCTTAGAGGTGTTCTGTGATGATCTGTATTGGCAAATTTCTCTATACAAGCATCTGGCAGTATCCAGGGACTCTTTTTGAGGCCAAGATCTTAGGCTTCTGTATGGGGTAGGTCCTTCTTAGCAAAATTTTGCATGGGGAGGCTCTCCAGCCATTGTTTTCAGTGGTGCTAAGCTACACCAGTGTGTCTGAGTGCTAGATTGGAGCCTGAGCCTAACATAGACAGTCACTGGGTGTCTTAAAGAAAGTTATTTTGAGTATCGTCTCCAATTACTATTTGTCTCTTTGTTTTAGAGGAAGTCACAGCAGGATTTGTCCAGTTCCGAGTATTTAATAATGAGAGAGCAGCCAATGCCTTGTGCGCTGGAGTGAAGGTTTCTGGATGTAATACAGAACATGTGAGTGTTTGTGGGGTCAAAAGGGACTGGTTGGGGACCAAAGCCACACTCGTTGAAGACTTAGTAGGAGAGTCCTGGACAACCTTCCTCATGGCAGCCTTTTCTCTACTTCAAGTGCTTTCTGTGGCTGGATGTTTCTATGTGGACTGACTGCTAGTGCAGGTACACGTGGCTCACCTGAAGCAGCTTTGATGTCTCCTTAAACTGGAGATCATTGTCCCCTTCTGTTTATTTCTACTCTCTATGGGGTGGCTCTGGGCCAAAGCAGCTTGAGGATGGAGTCTTTGGGTTCTCCACCTTATGAATTGTCAGGAGTAAGTGTGTTCTCTTGAGACCCAGCCCTCCTGAAAGTAACAGTGTGAAAAAGGGTTACGAGATGCTAGAAGTGGACCTTGAAGATCTCATTTTTCCTTCGGTCCTCAGCCATCAGCGTGTCCCTTTTCCACCCAGAGAGGCAGCTTCACTGTCAAGTCAGACCCTAAAATTGAAATGGGGGATGATGGCTATCAGAACCCCAAGAAGCAAGTTTCTTTGTGATGACCTGGTTTCCACTGCACTTTTCAGCTGTGGCCCAAGGAATACATACTGCAGTGTACATGTGAGCTGGTATGCATCATTCATTTACTAGTACAGCCAGCACCTATGTTGTATCAAGTTAGGAGACCGAAATTATGTTAATGAACAAGTTTGAGATCACTGAGGGATACCTAGTCATATGCTGTTATGCAATAATGTTTTAGTCAATGATATTGTAGGTATTAGAGTTGTTATATAAAATTTATTGTCAAGAAACATCATAACCATCTTAGCTCAAGTATACTCTAGCATGTTCATACAATTGCAAAATTACCCCCAAATTTATTATTCAAAATGTGTTCCAATTATTAAGTGATGTTTAGCTTAAATAACTATGTTGTGTGAGGCTTAGAGTGACTAGGTAGGGGTCCAGGTGGAGCCGTGTTTTGAAGTCTTCAGCTTGAGAGACATCTAGAGATAGAGATAGAGATCCAGGGCAATAGTAAATTCTTATTAACTGATATCTATACAGTCTACAAAGGGGAGGGACACGTATCCTGTTCTAGGGAGTAGCACTTGGGGAATTCATGAAGGAAGAGTCCTGCCATGGAATTTGAGAATGAATGTTCAGAAAAGATAAAGGAAAGTCAGGAGGAGAAGGATGCTGCTAAAGCTAGGCAAAGAGAGTTTTTAATGGAGGCATAGATCAGCACTGATGAAGAGTCTAATGAAGACTAAAGATTCTTCCAGATTTGGCCATTAATATGCCTCTGGGCCTGACAGCTGAATTAATCAGCTTTTTGTCACTGTGGCAAAAATCTGGGAGAAAAAAAGAAGGGAGGATTTGTTTTGGCTCATTGCTTCCAAAGTTTCTATTTATAGTCAGTAGGTTCCATAGCTTTTAGGCTATGGCAAGGGAGAAACATCATCTTATAAGGGCAGTGTAGAAATAGTAATTACTTCCCTTGTGGTTGCCAGGTAAGACAGAAAGATATAGAAAGGAACAGAGAAGGGCAAGATACCCTTCAAGACATACTCATAGTGATCTACTTCCTCCTACCAGCCCATAAAATCTATAGTTCTACCACCTCTCAATAGTGTATTAAATTAAATTAATTCATTAATTAATTAATTTTTGCTGATCCTGGGGCTTGAACTCAAGGCTTGGGCTCTGTCCCTGAGGCTCTCTGTGCTCAAAGCTAGTGTTCTACCACTTGAGCCACAGCACCACTTCCAGCTCTTTCTGTTTATGTTTATGCATGCTAGGCAAGCACTCTACCACTAAGCCACATTCCCAGCCAGTATATTTAAATTTTATAGCTATCAATGGATTAACCAACTGATGAAAGGCAGAGCCCTCAGGATTCAATCACTTTCTCAAAGCTCCACCAATAAACACTGTTTTCACAAATACGGGGTCTTCAATACTTGTCTTTTTTTTTTTTTAAATGTGTGTATGTGGGTGTGTGTGCGGGGGAGAGGGGGTACTTCATATGCAAACTGTAACACCAGTAGATATGTCATTACCATTTCCTCTTCTTGTTTGCCAGCACTGCATTGGTGGCGGAGGATTTTTCCCTGGGGGTCATCCTCAACAGTGTGGAGACTTCTCTGCCTTCGATTGGAATGGATATGGAACACACACTCGTTGGAGCAGCAGTCAGGAATTAACTGAAGCAGCTGTGCTTCTGTTTTATCGTTGAAAGCTTCATGGTATGGGACCCAAGATCTTCTCCCACCTAAAGTGTCACAAAGATGGAGAAAATATCTAGTGACCAGAATGTTAATGACAGAGGAGAGTAAAGTAAATCAGGTTCATGCAAGTCTTGGTGTATTTCTGAATTATTTTCATATAAGGGATGAATCCCTGAAGCAGATTTGAGAAGAATGTCTACTGCCCTGATTGATTTTACCTTGACCATTTTTGTACTTGATGTTAAGGTTAGGATTCCTTAGGCTCCCTTTTATATGGCTACTTAAAATAGCCAGAGAAATTAAGAATAGGAAGGAAGTATTTTATCATACTCCTTCCAATTTGTATATTCAACCTGGAGATTTAGAGGAAAAGAGTCTATTGTGGGGGTATACCAAAGAAGAAAGGCACAGTCAATATCGGTGTGTGGTACGCTGTAATCTTCGTTGTTGGGGAATCCTCTTTGGGGAGGGATGGGGCTAGCAGGCCTTAATGATGGTTCCTCTTGTTGGCTGATAACTAACACTGGTGGACTCCCATCTTCCAGGACTTGTTCAAAAGGTGCCATATGCCAAACCACCTGCATGTGTAATTGGTACGGATAGGATAGGGAGGTCCTCAGTTTGTTCCATGAATCAAAGCAGAAATTTTACCATGTTTTCCACTAGAATGTAAATATTTCCTTACCTCAGTAGTCAATTAATTCTTAGTGGCTAGAAGTTCTTAGGCATCCCTTGTGGAAATTAGAAGAGGACCAGGGACAAGAAAGAGAATTTAGGAGAGAGGATGAAGGGACAAGTCAAGGAGAAGAGGAAAAGGTTTGCTTAAATGTCTTTTTAAAATTAATTAATTAATTGGAGACAAAGTCTGACTATGTAGCCTTGTGTGGCCTCATACTCATGATTCTCCTGCTTGCACACTGCTGAGATTATAGGCATGCACAATCATATCTGACTAGGAGGCTTGTCTTGTTTAAATTAGATTTATTTGGTCATTAGTTAAAAAAGTGTTGACATTTTTTCCCTATGGTATTCCTTTCTTTCTTCCTCATTATTAACTTTTATTTGCTTTTTTTTTTTTTTTTGGGTCTGGTCGTGGGGCCTGAACTCTGGGCCTGGGCGCTGTCCCTCAGCTCTTCAGCTCAAGGCTAGCGCTCTACCACTTGAGCCACAGCGCCACTTCCAGCTTTTTTCTTTGTGCTTATGTGGTGCTGAGGAATCGAACCCAGGACCTTGAGCATGCAAGGCAAGCGCTCTACCACTGAGCCATCTTCCCAGCCCTTATTTGCTGTTTTTTAAATTTACTTTTTCTTACCTCTTGTCCTCAGTCTCTATCCTGAAGCACAGATATTTTGGCTCCCTATATCCCTCAGCTGTCCTTCCTTTCACTAGAGAGGATTGAGCTTTTCCTCTGTTTGATAGGTCCTGTGTATGGCTCACTTCCTGTTTTCCAGGCAGAGCTGGCTGAGAGTGCACAGAACAGAGGGAAGACAGACACCTTGATCTTCCTCATGTTCCCTTAGCATATCCCAACAACGCTTAATATCGTGTACCAGTGTTGGGATGCAGTAACAAACGAGCTTAGTTCAAAAGCTGCAGGTGGTGGAGCTCACAGGCCATTCCAGAGCTAATTGTTCAGTTCTAGATTAGAGTATCCTGAAGAGTTGGGAGCATGAACAGCCATGGCTGCGGGGAAGAATGCTAGAACCTCTTTGAGAAGGCAACATGGCCTTGACTCTTCTTCCTTTTACCCTGGAGTGACCATATTGTGCCACACATCTGTAGAGCGAAATATTAAAGGTCTGAGCTCTTTGATTAGAAAAACATTAATCCAAAACCCAGTCCTTAAATTCACCTGATCCTTGGGAATTTTTTATATATCAGAGTCTTATTTATAAATACAGGTAATAAAAGTAAAGTTTCATATGTGCTTTTAGTAAAAATAAAATGAACTAACATATCATCCTGTAAAATAGTATCTGTCTTGTAGAATTTACTTAATACATGTTTGCCGGCATTATAATTTTTTAATTTTAGTTTTATTTATTTTAGTGGTACTAGGATTTAAACTCAGGGCATTGAACTTGCTCAGCTTGCTGCTTGCTTGCTCTTCTGGCACTCTATTTTTTGAGTCACATCTCCAGCCATATAAGGTGTTTTTGAAGGTTTAAAAATCTATTTGAATTCAGTTTTACTCATTAATTAAAAAGAAATCTGGGATTTTTTTTTTTTTTTGCTAAATAGTTACTATGACATGCATTGTATACTCCAAGGAAGATGCAAAGAAAATTAAGACTTTTCGAGTCAGGCACAGGTAGCCTTATAGTGAAACCTGTTTGCATTTCTTGGATAAAACAGGTTGTATAGTTCTATTTAACTTCCAGAGGAAAAATGCAGTCTTCCATGAGCCCCCAGGAAGAGGTGACTTTAGAGTGAACAGCACTAATTATTACCCACATGGTTGATGATAAAGTGGTATTAGTGATCATTTCTTTGTGGTTAGAAAAAAACCAGATACATAATAGCTAGGCTAGCCGGCCTCTCCCTACCCACTTTCCTCTCAGCCCTTCTTCCTTCTTTCTTTTGCAATGCAAGAGACACTTAGAACTCATGACACAACCTAAGAACTGGAATGTTACTAGTTACTTCCATGTTCTCTAGTGTTCTTCTGAATCACTCTACCTTTTGCTTCCTCCTTTAGGTGTTGCTATTATCTCAGTTTCTGCTTGTTAGTATAGTTTTTAAATTCTTTCATTAGACAGACATTGTGTTTCACACCTTAGTTTCAGCATTCAGGAGGCTGAGGTCAGAGGGTCAAATCTATAGTTACACTCTCTCAAAAGAAACCCCAAACCTACTTTCATCAATTACATACATATACAAGATGCTCCACACATGCCTAAATGACAATTTTAATTTCTTTGTTTTTGAATTCTATAATATAAATATAAATAGTAAATATAAACAATGTACATTTATATAATGTATACAATTATATGATATATAATATATAATTATATAATACACATAATATATTTATGTTTATTTATGTAGTTATAACATTATATTAATATATAAAATATATGAATACAATATTTTATATAATTTATATAAATATAAATAATATAAATATAATTTTTTTTTTTTAAATTTTATTTTATTTTATTTGAGAACATACTGTACAGAGGGGTTACAATTACATGGGCAGGATAATGCATACATTTCTTACCAAGCATTGCATCCTCCTCCTTTGTTTACCCTTCACCTCCCTTCCCAGCCTCCCCCCTCCCTCCCACCCAATCATACCCCCCTTCCCCCCCCCCCCCCCCCACCGACATTGTAAAGCTGGTTTTGACATGACATTTTGTACTTCTCATTGTTGCAACAGGTCCACCTGAATCCTTAAACGACTTGTTTGTCCCCGTCTCCTCCACATGTTATACTGACATCAAATATAGTGAAAGCAGGGGTTACACTGTGGGGGAGGGACACACAAAGCAACAAAGAAATAATCTTATAAATGCATTAGAAACACATGCATGAAAGAAACAAAAACATTAAAATACATATTTGAGGGTTCGTTTTCCTAACATCACATTATCTGACTTTTTCCGCTTGACTCATACCTATACTAGATATTGCAAATAAGGGAAACCATGGGACCTATGTTTCTTTGGGCCTGGCTTACTTCACTTAATATAATTTTTTCCAAGCCTTTCCATTTCCTAACAAATGGGGCAATGTCATTCTTTCTGATGGAGGCATAGAATTCCATTGTGTATATATACCACATCTTCTTGATCCATTCATCTACTGAGGGGCATCTGGGTTGGTTCCATGTCTTAGCTATGGTAAATAATGCTGCAATAAACATAGTTGTGCTGGTAGCTTTAGTGTGGCCTTGTTTGTGATCATTTGGGTAAATGCCCAAAAGTGGGATTGCTGGGTCGTTGGGGAGCTCTATGTGGAGTCTTTTGAGGAACCTCCATACTGCTTTCCAAAGTGGTTGAACAAGTTTACATTCCCACCAACAATGAAGTAAGGTTCCTTTCTGTCCACATCCCCTCCAGCATCTGTTGTTGTTAGAGTTCTTGATTTTTGCTGTTCTAACTGGAGTGAGGTGATATCTCAATGTTGTTTTGATTTGCATTTCTTTTATGGCTAGGGATGTTGAACATTTCTTCATGTGTCTATTGGCCATCCTTCTTTCTTCTTCAGAGAAGCTTCTCTTTAAGTCTTTCGCCCACTTACTTATTGGGCAGTTGTTTCTTTGAGGATTTGTTGTTGGGTGGTTTAATTTTTTGAGTTCCAAGTATATTTTAGATATGAGACCCTTGTCCGTTGTATGGCTAGTAAAGATCTTCTCCCAGTCCGTGGGCTTTCTATTGATCTTGCTAGCTATGTCATTTGCCCTGCAGAAGCTCTGCAACCTTATACAATCCCATTTGTCCAGCCTTTCTTTGATTTGTTGTGTTTCCGGGTCTCTATTCAGAAAATTTCGGCCTGAGCCAAGGAGACCCAGGGTTTCTCCTATTCCATCCTGTAATGTTTTCAGAGTGTCTGCTTTGAGTTCAAGGTCTTTGATCCATTTGGAGTTGATTCTGGTGCAGGGTGATATATAAGGATCTAGCTTTAGTTTTCTACATGTAGTTAACCAGTTTTGCCAGCACCATTTACTGAAGAGGCTGTCTGTCTTCCATTTATATAAATATAAATAATATAAATATAATTTTTAAAAATCATGAATAAGTAGCTTTATTTTCAGGAATAAAAAATTGAATAAGCATAATCTGCTTAAACAATCCAACAATTGCAAACTAGAGGAGAAGAATCATGTGGTAAATTGAAGTGATGCATAATAAGTAAAAAAATTCAACATATTTTTTCCATATATATTTTTATTGTAAAATTACTATACAGAGGGGTTATAGTTACATGGGTAGGGTAATGAGTACATTTCCTATAGAGCATTGTTACCTCCTCCTTTGTTTTTCTCCTACCGTCCCTTCCC